CCCCAAAACCCCAAAACCCCAAAACCCCAAAACCCCGTGAGATGAGATTATGAATAATCATGGGAGCAATTAGATTGTGATATTTATTTAAAAATACATATAAATATTGACAGCACTAAACTTGGGTGATTCAGACTTTAGCTTTGATAGTATTTTACACCATAGTTTTTCATACTTATATTTGTCGATGCCATACACTGACTTTCATACCACTAAGTCTAATCCCTTAAGTGAAGTGTACTATTATAAGTTACAAGTTGATAGCTATATTTATACTATAACGCACATAAGTGGTACAAGTTTCCTCAGTATATTGAGCAGCAGCTTGTTGATGTACTCGGCGATTCTTCTGCATTATACTTTTTATAAGATTCTACAATATAAATATCTGATATCGGCTTCTTCTGTACTTGATCAACAAAAGTCACTTTGTGCCTTTTTTATCCAGGTTTTATTTAATTCCCATTTTGATCTCTTCGAGTATAAGTCTATTTCCCATTGATGCTAGCTAGCCCAATAAGCTCTGAGTTATCCTTCTAAGGAATTATTCCCACGTTTAATACTGACTCATTATCATCAGATTTTCCATCCTTGTAGCTCATTGCTTTTGTACTTAGCTAATTAGTTAGAGTGGGATTCTCTCTCTACGAAGTTTATAAATTTATTGGGTCGTCCATTACTTATTTCTAATGTTAAATTAGTAATAGTTTAATTGAGAATTATAAGAATTATAAATACAAACTTCAAATTATAATAATGATGGCTAATAACTAGGAATAGTATGTTTCTTCCGTTAATACTCTCCAATTAACCACTTTACCTTTATAGTGACTATTTGTTCAAGCTTCTCCTCATTGGCAACAGTGGAGTTGGAAAGTCTTGTCTCCTCCTCAGATATGCTGTAAGTATTAGTTCACCAAACCAAACTCATCTTAAAAAAATTTGTAAATTAATCTTTTGCTGATTAGGAAAATTCTTTCAATGAGAATTTCTTCAATACCATTGGAGTAGACTTTGTAAGCATTTTTCATTCTATATAACATTCAATAGAAAATCAAGACTATCATGCTAGACGAGCAGATTGTCAAACTATAAATTGTAAGTGAACTCTGTGAATTCTTATACTGATTAATTCTTTTGTTTCTTCCCTAAGTTGATTAATAATTGTGTTTTTAGTGGGACACTGCTGGACAAGAAAGATTTAGAACCCTGACAAGTAGTTACTACAGAGGTAACCAATTTTATTGAATTCTTAACTTCTTAGGCGCTCACGGTATAATTATTGTATATGATGTCACTGACAGAGATTCTTTTGAAAACGTCAGATAATGGATGCATGAAATTGAAAGGTACCTTAATCAGTCTTTTCTTTCAAGTTATTAATTAAAATTCTTCATAGATTCGCCAATGCCGGAGTATGCAAAATTCTTGTGGGCAATAAATGCGATATGGAGGAAAGTAGAAAAGTCAGCAATGAAGAAGGTATGGAGCTTGCCAAGCACTATGAGATTCCATTTTTGGAGACATCCGCTAAAAACTCCATTAATGTAGACAATTCCTTCATCACAATGTCTAATGAGATCAAAAGAAATATACAAAATAAGGCTAATGCAACAGGAACTACCACTGGGGACAAAAAAGGCATCGTCTTTGGAAAAGGAATCCTTCATCATCAGAGTTAAGGATCTGAGGAAACTACGGATAGCTCCTCATAGGGAAATCCCAAGAAGAAGAATAACTCAGCATGCTGCCAGTGATCTAGTTGAATAATTATAAAAGCTTAGAAATTAAGGTGCGCAGAGTCAGGTGTATTTTACTATGAGATCCTCATCCCTATTATAAGCTCATTAAATTACTCCTGCTCTATTATGCAAATATATTTGTTCATTTCTAATTTTTCAAAATTAAAGATCAACATACTCTTTCGGGGTTTTGGGGTTTTGGGGTTTTGGGGAGATCGGAAGAGCACACGTCTGA